TGTTTCTCTCATTGTATTACCCTATCTTATTTTCCTCTCTATTGCCAGTATTTAAAATTATCTTCTCCATTGTCTTTCTCACTAGAAGTTACGCTCCATGGGAAAACAGCATCCAGCTTGTCCCTCCACTGGCATCGTAATAGACACTCAATAAATATTTGTTCCATGAAATAGTTGTTGAATAACTACACTCCTTTTATTTGGGATATATTTTTTCTTAGTGAGTTCTAGTTAATAAGTTAAACTTTGGGAACTGCTGAATAAATCCAGCTACAGGAATTCAGACATACTTTTATAACAATAAGACATTTAAAAAATAAAATTACCAGTTCATCTCACTTGTACTGTAAAGCACTTATTAAGTTTATTTCAAAACTATTTACATTCTTCTTTCATTTTTTTTATAATCCATAAAACTTGGGAGAAAAGGGAAACCTGCAGGCATATGGGGGAATTCCTGAATTCAACAAGACAATACTGAGAGAAGTACACTTCCTAGAAAAAGTCAATTCCAGCTACAGTTATCTCAAGTTAAATTCTATACAGTAAAATTCTGACCATATTGAGACAGAGTCTTAGTATTTGTTTATATTTGACCTCTAATTTTCATATCTGACATAGAACTTGAGTTCCTTAAAACTGACATACGGAGAAAAGATAATTTAAAATAAAATATATACATATGTAAACACATAGAGACAGACACGTCTTAAAAATATGTCTATGTATTTAGTTAAGTTTTTTCTAGACCAGGCTAAGATATAGAATATATTTCTGGCAGGCCAAATACTTCTAATTAAAGGCTGATGCCAGGCATGGTGGTGTATACCTGTAGTCCTACCTCCTCAAAAAAAAAAAAAAGTGTTGAATTGTTCATGTAACTATTGTACTACTGCATACAAGGAAAATACAGAACAAGTATGATATTATTAAGTATGCAAGTTAGTACCTTTAAGACTTTCCCAGTTTATAAATATTTCTTAGACAAAGATTCTGACAAAGTACCCCAATACAACAATATAATAAAAAGTGTGAAAATGATTCTGATATGATTGTGAGGATTAGATATACTTTTGAACCTAAAAAAGCTATTCTTCCTCCTTCCAATCTATGTTTTATAAGCTAGGTTTTTTTTTTTTTGTTGTTGTTGTTTTGGAGATACTGGGGTTTGAACTCAGGGCCTACACTTTGAGCCACTCCACCATCCCTTTTTTGTGATGGGGTTTTTTCAGGATAGGGACTCGAAAAACTATTTGCCTACGCTAGCTATAAACCACAATCCTCCTGATCTCTGTCTCCTGAATAGCTAGGATTATGGGCCTGAGCCACCGGTGCCTGGCTGTAAGCTGGATGTAAGCCTGTCATTGAGACAAAGTCAAACTAAAGACAAGCAAGAAGATACATGAAAGCCTTTCAAGTCTACTGAATACAGTAGGGTATGGCAGAATGCTCCCAGTGACTCCCTAGCCTCACTGTGTGCTGTCAGTTTATAGTCTTAACTGCCCTTCTTACTGGTTATAAATAAATACAAACTGTCCTTGTCCCTAAGGAGATCTTAGCACCAGATCAAGGTTAAAATATGGAATAATTCTCTTCAGATGCAACCTTTCCAGTTAGCAAAATAATCAAAAACCAAAAAGAATTATTGCCAATTTAAGGGTGAGGAAATTATTCCCTTCCCCTAAAAACTATCCACTATGTAAGAGCTATTGATAAAGACATTAGTATAATTCTCTATCCTAAAAGTATGTCCCGTCTTTGAAAAGGTAAACTTTATGATGCTGGAAATCACATCTTAATAAAGCATGTCCAGGAAGAATGAATGTGTATCTGCTCCAAATGTACAACCTTGTCCTGGAAAGAGCAGATGCCACTCAACTGACTCCTCCATAGTTGTTAGAACAACTCTAAAACTCCATAGTTGTTAGAAAGACTTCTGGAGTTTGTATTTTTATCCCCCCTACTTTTTAATTTAGGCACAAATGACTACTGAGCAAAATCCATCCATATAACAACATAAGAGAAAAACATTTCTGTCTCCACTTGGATGAAAGATCCTTTAGAATAAACTACAGCTGCAACAAAAACAGGTTTCACAAGGTCTGCGTTAGTATCATCAGGTGATATCTATCTGCTGTTGTTAATTACAGAACCCTTACTGGGTTCTTACTGGGAAGAAAAACTTAAAAAAAAAAAAAAAAAGCAGAGTGCATCAGAATAAGCTTTTCCACATATCACTTTTCAAAATCCATCACTTGGGAGATATATAAATGGAACATAACTTCAAATCAAAAAACAAACCTGATTATGAGGGGGCTATCACACTTCAAAGTGGATTGTTTTTTAAACAGTTTTGCTTATTATTTTTTTGGGGGGAGGTGCTGGAGTTTGAACTCAGGGCCTCACATTTGCTACACAGGCATTCTACCACTTGAGCCACTTCATCAGCCTTATTTTTAAAATTTTTTTATTTTTAGTGGTATTGGGGTTTGAACTCAGGGCCCTGTGCTTGCTTGGCAGGTGCTCTGCCACTTAGAACCATGCTGCCAGCCCTCAAAAGTGGGTCTTGGTGCCAAAAGAAAACATCTTTAGAAATGAAGTTAGAAAGGTAAAATCAAACAATCAGCTAGGACTCCATTCTCACAAATCAGAACCATGTGTTGATCCCACTGAATGGTTTGGATGAAATTCTCTAGGTCACTAAAAGTGAACTTGGGAAAGATGAAGATTTTAACATGCCCCACATATCAAAGATTTATCCTCTAGGTGGACAGAATTTACTTATTCTAAACAAGAACTGAAAAAGAATCAAAAAAAAAGGAGGAAAAGGAGGAACAGGAGAGGAAAAAAAATCTATATGGCTAAAGAAGATTCTATACTGTATATTAATATTTTCAAAGCTGTTTTGAGATTTGAGAGTTTATAGTCTTTACTCTCTCCCGTCAAGCATGACTATGAAGAACCATATAAAAGTCTAAATAACTAATAGATGAAAGGGCTGGTTCTATTACTATTTAAGCATGTCCTGTCTGCAAGGAATTCAAAAACAGAAGAATCATTTCACAAAATAAAAGAGGTTGTATAACCCCACAGGGTTTTTTGGCCTTATAAAAGCCAAACTGAAAGATGGTTCTCATTGGCCATCTATATGTTAGTCAAACCACTTAAAAATATTCCTAGCTACCCAAGCCTTGTATGCACATATGAATAATAAAACAAAGCAAAACAAAACAAAAAAATATTCCTGGCTAACACAAATTGGCTATAGAAGGGGCCCAAAGAGTGAACTTTAAAGGAGAAATGCTGAATTAGTCCTGGGTTATACAATGTGCAGTAAACTTATTAACCTGGAAACTGAAAGGACCCATCTGCTCCAGAGAATTTAGCATACAAGGACAACCAATTAGGTTCAGTATTAACCGCTATTATCTAGCAGTAAAGAATTCAGTTATCCAGTGGGTGCTGGTAGCTCACGCCTATAATCTTAGCTACTCAGGAGGCAGAAATCAGGAGGATCATAGTTCAAAGCAGTCCAGGGGAAAAGTTCCATGAGCTCCTCTCTGAAAAACCCTTCACAAAAATAGGGCTGGTGGAGTGGCTCAAGGTGAAGGCCCTGAGTTCAAACACCAGAACCAAAAAACACCCAAAAAATCTGGTTTTCCTTGGACACAATTTTTAAAATGAAAGACATCTAGAACCTCCCTCCAACTCTGAAAAAAAGACCAAGGTATAGGTATGCCTTTCATCTTCTTTATTTTTCAACTGAAGCTATCTTCTACTGTCTACATGGACCAATGTCTTACCTAGAAATCAACTGCAGAAAACAAGTTCCTTCTTCTTCTAAAGTTATTAAAAATAACCAAAATATATGCAATGTTAAGGTTCTAAGGAAGCAAAATGGAACAAAGGACAGGCAGAAAATTCTGTTTTAAGTGTTCATTCCAAAATTTACGACTCAAGGAAAAAGTAAATCACACAAGAAGGCAAAAGGGAAAAGTTGCACAGAATGTCTAAACAGGATTTCCTGGCTTCTGATGAACTTTGTCAGAATTTAAAAGATTAAAATACACAATAACACCTATTTTACCCAAAAAGACTCTGTAAAAACATACATAAGCATTTGAGGCAAAAACTCAAATTTTAAAAATTTTAAGATGGTAGCCAGTTTGGTAGGAAAATTTTTTTCTTTTAAGTTACCAATAAAAGATGAGCTCTCAGGTACAATACACAAAGACAATCTACTCATAATCAAACTCCTTTTATACGGTAAAATGTAGCCTATACATTGCTTTAAGGTGTCTCTCTCGCTCTTTTGGCAGTAGTGGGGTTTGAACTCAGGGCCTCATACTTGCTAGATAGGCGAGCTACCACTTGAGCCACTCCGCCGGCACAAGGTATCTCTTTTTATAAAGTGCAAATTCTCTGAGGATTTCTTGGAAGAAAAATAATATTACTCTAAGGTCTCTATATCTTGTACTATCAACCATTGATTACATATTTAAATCCAGCCAGGCATGGTAGCATATGCCTGTAATCCCAGCAACTGGAAGACTGAGGCAGGAAGATTGCAAGTTTGAGGCCAATCTGTATGTTTAAGTTCCAGGCCAGTCTGGGCTACACAGTTAGACTGTGTCTTGGAAAAAAAAATTAAATGCAACACAACTGTGCACCATTATTAGTTTACAGCCTTATCCTAGTATAAAGTAATCACTAGAAAAGATCTGAATAAAAACTTCTAGCTTATGGCAGGTAGGAATATTTAGAATAAAACCTCTTTTTTAAATTGAAGCTGCTCATTAAAAATGTTTAACACTGTCATATGCATTATTGGGAAAAAAAGTTACGTGCTTACCTTATATGATACCTACCATTTGCACTGAAATAAAATAGTACATTGCACTCATATTTGCATTTTTTAGTAGTAAATATTTCTATGTATCTCATTCTGCTTTTTCTGTCATGATTAAACAATGTTTAAAATACAATTACTAAAAACTCACCAAGTTGAGAGTGTAGGAAAACTCTTAATTTGTCTTGTCTAGCAGGAACTCTCTGTTGGAAATAGAGATGATGAGTCAGACTTAACCAGATTTTAAATCTCGTAAGTCTTTACTTGCTTATTCTTACAAGAGAAAAATCTTACAAAATGCAGGTGACACATCTGCAAAGAAACAACTGATAACAAAGATTTACTAGACAAAATTATCATTCTTATATCTCATCTTTATCTCAATGTTCTATTTTTAAGTACTCTTTCAAAAAGATATACTTAGAAATGAAAGTCAGGAAAATCCAAGTTAATTCTAGTGATCATGCCTACTAGTGCAGCAAAAATGAAATAAGTCACTTGTCCTATCTCAGCATTTACAAGAGAAGAACGATCATTTTTGCCAGCTCTCTAACAAAATGCTGAAAGAATTACTATGAAGTTGTAATGTAAAATACCCTTTCAAAAAAATTCAGTGGTAGCTGGGTGCCAGTGGCTCACGCCTGTAATCCTAGTTACTCAGGAGGCAGAGATCATGAGGATCGTGGTTCGAAGTCAGCCCAGGCAAATAGTTCACAAGACCCTGTCTCAAAAAAAAAAAACCCTTCACAAAAAAACAGGGCTGGTGGAGTGGCTCAAGGTGAAAACCCTGAGTTCAAGCCCAGTACCACAAAAAAAAAAAAAAAAAAAAAAGCACAGTGTGGTTAAATTATACCAAAGCAACACACACTTAAACAAAGCCATGTATCCTATGATTTTAAGAAATAGCTGCCACAATTAAGACGGGTGGGACAGCCCACAAAAGACTGGATTAATACTGATTACACAAGGGAGATACAGAAGTTTCTATTGAAGACTGGTGAGATACCTTAGTTAAGCTGTACCATATCCTACAAAGTGACTCAAAAGAAAAACAAGGATGATAGTGGTCTCAAAGCTTCTAAGAGCCTATGCTGGGCAGAAATTTCTGGCACCTTCTTCCTTTTTATGGGAAAATGAAGCATTGCACAAATTATTGGTAAGTAAATCTCTTGAAAATGTAAACATCAACTTTAGTACATTGATACAAATTTATCTGACTACAACAAACTTTGGTAAACCAAGTGTGCTGACTATCTGCAATGGAATGAGCCATCACCAAAAATTGTGCTAAATTCCTCATGATAAAAGGGGGCAGCCCTGATCAGATACCATAAAATAATGCCTACAAAAATCCCATGTAGTTCAGTTAAGAGTAGCAGCAATCAGGTCAAATTCACTCAACAAATATTTGCTGAGCACCAATTTGTAAGACAGTTTTTGAGACAAAGTAGTGAAAAAGACAATGTTCCTGGGCTGGTAGAGTGGCTCAAGAGGTAAGAGTGCCTGCCTAGCAAGTGTGAGTGAGACCTTGAGTTCAAACCCCAGTGTCGCCAAAAAAAAAAAAAAAAAAAAAGATAGAGAGAAAGTTCCTGACCCTCTGAGCATGGAAATACAAATGCCTTAAGACTTTACAATTATTCCTAGACAGAAGATGACCAACTCAACAAAAAAAAAATGCTCGAGTATTTGTGATATTTAAAACAGAAAGCAATACCTTTAGTCTTTTCCCATGTAGCGTCTTCTTAACTTAAGATTTTCTCAGTTAATTTGCCAGAATTAACATTTTCAGGCTTATTAAGTTTTCTGGCAAAATTTAAGAGCCTGACAATATTGGTAAGGGCTATGAAGAATAGGGACACTCTCACAGGTGGTAGGACAAATTGGTGCCACTACTCTGCAAACTATTATTTAAATTTTAAGAACTTTTAAATGGACATAAAACAATTAAGGGGCAGAGTATGATATTTAGTATGTATACGATATGCAAAGATCATACCAGGGTAACTGGCATATCTATCACCTCCAATATTTATCATTTTTTTGTGCTGGGTCCAAAACAGTTTATTAATAATAGTGAAGATTTAAAGATTCCACTCTCAAATATGTGGCCAAGAGAAACTCCTGTACATGCCTAAACATCACATGTAAACAGAACATTTGCTGCAGCTTCTTTAATAACACTTAACACCTAGAAACAACCCAAGTGTCCAACAACATAGAATGCATACAAAAATTATGTATATTCATATAATAGGATGTTAGATGGCAATGAAACTGAACTGTAGCTCTATATAACATAGATAAAAATCACAAGTATCTCGTTGAGTTATCAAAGACACTAAATATCATATTGCTCTATTATTCCAGTTATACAAAGTTCAAAAACAGGCAAAACTAAACTATATTGGTTTGGAATTAAACCTAAGTGGTAAAATAAAAAAGATAAGTCAATAATCATCACAATGTCAGAACAGAGGTTACCTCTAAGCAGTGGTATAGGATTTATCTAGACAGGACATACAGAAAGATTCATCTGGTGCTGGCAATGATACATTTCTGGGAGCCTAACATATGGTTATATAGGTGTTTGCTTTTATAATTAATCCTTAAACTATACAGTTATGCTTTGTGTATTTTTCTGTGTCATATTTTATAATAAAAATGTTCAGACACACATTATTAAAATAACCTAATAGAACAGTTATCTATTTAGCCTCCAATATCTAATGGTAAATACAAAGTCCTACACAGAATACAACTTTGATTTTTTTCAAAGCTAATTCAGGATGAGAACTCAGTAATAATGCAGAGCCTCCTAGAAATTAATACACCGTCAGATGTCCTATCATACATCCCACGTTTGAATTTAATTGCAATACCCAACACCTGTATTTCGAGGAAACTTTTCTCTATTGACACGCTTAAATCTATGGCCATTAGTCAATACTCAAATTCTGTAAGAAACAAAAGCTCCTGAAAAAGCAAAGCCAGGAAACAAGTAATTTTTTGGTTTTCTGGGTTTAACTGTGGCCTTTGATAATCTCCAATTCCTCCCCACTGTAAGTAAAAGCCATAGTTCGTACAATGGCTAAAAAGGCCCTGCACAACTCTATTACCTCTCCCACCTCATCTCCAACTACACATCTCCTGAGCTCCCTATGTTCCAGCTATACTGCTATTTGTCGTGATTCCTCAGGCAGTAGGCCCATTCCTATCTCACTCAGGGCTCTGCAGTTGCCATTTTCTGTCTGAACAACGCTCTCCAGTCCCGAGAGATTCTCAGGGCACACTCCCTCACCATTGCTGAGTCTTTCCTTAATTGTCACCATCTCTGTAAAGCTTTTCCTGATAACTCTCAAAAATGTAATACTCTCTGCTGGGCGCTGGTGGCTCACGCCTGTAATCCTAGCTACTCAGGAGGCAGAGATCAGGAGGATGGAGGTTCAAAGCCAGCCTGGGGAAATAGTTCATAAGACCCTGTCTCGAAAAAAACCCATCACAAAAAAAGGCTGGTGGAGTGGCTCGAGGTATAGGCCCTGAAAGAATACTCTCCCCTACTACAGCCTAAATCCCATCCCTGCCTCATTAGTTTTTCTGTACTAGATAATGTCTTCTATCATGCTGTATGTTTTTATTGTCTCCTCTAACTGAAAAATAAGTTCCACAAAGGCAGATTTGTGTATTTTGTTGCTACACCCAGACAGTATCTGAAACATGGAAAGCCAGAAACAAATATCAATTTAATAAATGATCTAGTTAACCTCTTCTTTTGGATTTCCATCCTGGAACTATTAGACAATAATTCTATACATTTAACAACAACAACAACAAAATGCTTGCTGGGCAAGGTGGTGCTGTAATCCCAGCACTTGGGAGGCTGAAACAGCAGGGTTGCAAGTTCAGGGTGCCTGGGCTATAGAGCAAGGACCTAACTCCCCCCAAAAATAATATTTTGCCTCCTTGTAAGTCAAATTAGCAAAGTTTATTTTACTAACAAGTTTCAGGTTTATGCTTTTTTTTTTTTAATGGGACTGGGGTTTGCTCTTCTTAATATTAATGAGTCATGGTTAAGACTTTCAAAAAGTTGATACAAAATATAATTATTTTTCCTCTAACAAATGTGCAATACCTATTTTTAATAACAATGCTCTTGAGGGCGAAAAGAGACAAAAACTGTTGCTATGGTTTTAACTGGCAGCACTCTTATGGAAACTACCTGATGAGATGCAACATTAAGATTGTATTCTCCCTTTATACTTTTTGTCATTTTTAAGTTTTTAAAAATGAAGATGTTTTACTTTTATAGGAAGAAAATAGGTTTTTTAAAAAGTTATGCAAACAAAAAACAATTTCAAGAATAAACTTTTTACATTATATTTTGATTTTCACAGAAACAATAAAGGCTTCAATTACGTATTCAGATGAACTATCCCAAGAGGGTGACTACAGAAAAATTATTTTTGACCCAAGAACTAAACAAATTTATAGCAATTTCCAGAGTAGAAGGGAAAACAAAACTCCACAGTGTTAGTGTTCCAATAACAACAATATTCTTCTAAAGAAAGACTTGGGATAGGAACATTTTCTTTGCAGCATAAAATGTAGGGCTGATATGGCAAAGAGCATGTTACTAACTCCATTCAAATTCAGTGATTATGCTGGCCTAAGGAAGGTAATTCATTAAGAAAAACTATCTACCCCTGAGCACAGGGGTAGCGCTTATACTTTTTTTTTTTTTTAATTTTTGAGACAGAGTCATGATCTTCCTGCCTCAGCCTCTCAAGTGCTGGGATTACAGGCGTGTACCACCATGCCTAGCTGTTAAAATCAGAATAAGCAATTCTTATGACTCAAACCATATCCTAAAATGAGAACAAATCTGAGATAAAATACACAAGCATCTGAGATTCTAGTTATATATATCAGTCTGGTTTCCATTTTAAGGTCTTACTGGTTGTTAAAAAAAAAGAATACTCAGCACATAAATTCTCAAATTCTTAAAGATAGTTCATATATTCATGAGACAGGTGGCTGCCCAAACTAGTTGTTAAGAAAGGAAGTCCTACTCAAACACTTGCAGCAGGCAGTGTGTTATTAGAGAAGAGTAACAGTTTTCATTTGTAACACTTCAGGATTCCAAGTGCTGGAAACTTCCAATAGGATCCAGGTTTAAAAGGGGAAAAACAGAAGCTACGAATTAAAA